GGTAGCCAATCAAATTAAAGTGTCGATTTCAGCCGACTATATTTGATAATAAATGATTGACGTTCTGTTGATTAAAGAAGACAAGCGTCATTTGCATGCCGTAGCCGACATCTTGATTTTCAGATATCTTAAAATAGATACTGTTTATTTTAACGTTGTGGAAAGCATAAAGTAGAATTGTCTTCTGACAAAATGTTGACCTTAACCTTTCCAGCCACAGTTTCGATAACAATGTCCATTTGTTTCTGAAATCAGTTCAACTGTAAGGCAACGGGAAATGAAATGAAATGAATGGAGTTTTACGTCCTACTTTTCTGCACCATGTGGGCTAATGAAGACGGGTAAGGCAACGGGAATTAACTGTTCATTTTCAAAGTGTGCCATGTATCAAATGGTATTTACTTTCCTCCCAAAAATACCACTGTTCGACCAATCTTGACAAGTTATGTTAATATTAGTTGACTGAGTTGAAAGCCGACACAGGACCACTTCTTGAAAACAAAAGTACAGGCAATGGCCGTGGCAATAGACTGTAAGTAAATTCGCAGATATTATTTATACGACTGGACTTGTGCATATCAGATCCAGCATGTGTTGGTGTACCGTCTGAATTACCACTTACCACGGCTTCTACAACAAAGAGGTTGTCTGTTACAAAGCGACGCCCATACTAAAAGCAGATCTAAGAATATACTAGATCAAGGGCCATAACCCGGTTTATTCCAAAAGTCGCCATTGATAAAGACCTATTGCTCCTGACAGAATAAGACTCAAGTACCTTGGCAGTAAAGTAAAATTTGTGTATTGTCACATTCAATGATTGTTGGCGGTGGTTGCCCGATGCTCTATCCGGTTTCGAGCCACCACTGCTCTCGAACGTATTTTTATCCAATAATTAAGAAGACATTAGAAAAGTAAATAAATTTGTGATGGTTGTCAGGAAAATTGTCTACTGCAAGAAAAATATTTTTAATCAGCGGTAGTATTTATTCTTTGATGCACATGTCATCGGAAGTTGCATTAACTTCCAGTGGTGGAAGTATTCTCTTCGTTTGGAATTTCAGAAATGTGTCAAAAGAGAGTACATTTAGTTTCCACATGTTGTATTAATAGAAACAATAACAGCAAAGATGATCTTCGGCCTTGTTAAAGATCCAACTGAAATGTGACTGGTGCGTACACGGTATGACGCCAGAATTACGACTATTACAAGCAGCTCCATCAGCCCTAACAATCTGCTGTCATATCCAACATTTAAATAATGGCGATCTTTCCCAAGAATTGTCCGTCGTCGTTGTCCGCATCGCATGTCCTACTTTTCTGCAACTGATTGGGCTAATGGAGACATAGGTTTGCGTGCAAGTTCAACTACCTTCTTTAAATCGCTGATTTCAGTTGACATTTGAAGTTGTTTTCATTGAAAGTGTTTCTTATTTTAGTGATAATTTGTTATGTTTCTATATCCGCTCTTTCGAACATCTTGAGATTCTCGTCCAACCTAAACAATACTTATATATAAACCTTACAAATGTTAATATGTATTCATATGATTATCATATAAACAATGGGTAAAATATTTCTCGTAGTCCCGCACCGAATGGATGGAAGCGGCCATTTTTTTATTTTGACACATTAAATAAACACTTATTTAAATATTGTCAGAACATTGGCATTACATAAACCAGTCACCTTTTATTTTTGTAAGTATTATGTAAACATGAACGAACATTTTGTACCTGGCGAGCGAAACCTGCCTTGCCTCTCAAGACAAAGGATAATGCCAAAGTTATTTTTGATCTATTGTGTTTTCTACGATATCTCTCATTCACATTTTCTACAATTTTCCCGTGACTTGATGTCAGCCTCGACAAGACATGTTATTGATGGACCAACAGGAAATGTCTACAAAACTGAAAACACTGCTTGGCTTCAGATGGAATATTTGACGCCAAAAGGAAATTTGCTGATAAAGTGGTCTCAATCGATCAGCACGTAAAACATTCATAAAGTAACCATAAAGTCGTGATAGGAAAAAAATAGCAGCACATTTCCGGGACTGTTTTCTCTAACCGGAAGTGGTAATGTCTGACAAACGAAAAGCGGGCGCCATTTTTAACGTTTGTTTAGTTAACAATTGTTATTGCTCATACAATATTCAAGCTAATGTGTTGGTATTAAATTTCCACAATATGGAAATGGAAGTCCGTTAATTCACACAAAATGATAACTCCATTATGGCTTTGATGGACAAAATTTCAGCGAATGATTTGTAGCTCAATTAGTATTTAAAATCCGTGGTTCAGAGAATCGAAAAACTTCTTGAATATTAAAGGGACAGTTTCATTATTCGTTTGACCAATCGTACCTTAGTCACAGAAACGAGATTTTTTTTAGCTAAACTTATCAGTAATAGCGTTCTCAGCTCATTGCCAAAATTTGAGCATTCAACAATTACCCGTCTATGGAAGTTAAAATGGCGACCAGTCATTTCTTGAGGTCATATAAAGAAAATAGTTTAAGGTATTTTTGAAGAATTGTGCGATTTTTGTTTAATATTTCGAGTACTTCTGAAACTTTTTACATATATTCAAGACCCAAATCATCTCTTGAAAATGGCGAACCTGTACCTGAGTTCAACCTGCTGTTGAAATAATCAGTATTTGATTTGAACACCATCTAAATTGTATATTAAGTGAATTATCGACGAAAAAATACACTATGTTATGTTTCGGTGAAGGGAGGGTTTGATTCTTCTTTTAAGTTCTTGATATATGACTATCATGTTGTGCTTATAGACATGAATACGGATTATTTGATAGGATATCGGTACGTTTAGGGCCAAGTATAAAATGTCACCTTTAATAAAAGTTGCTCTTACCAACTTTTGGTTCCCTAGTTTTGGAGAATTTTCACCATGTTAATAATCAAATTTAGCATCTGTACAAAGTGGAAACATTAAAATTGAACCGTGAAAAGTTTCAAAAACTAGCGACCCAGAGCAACTCCCTTAAAATGTGACATTTTATGTCAAGCCCTAAACTTGCCGATATCCCATCCGTATACCACCTACGAGGGACGGGTAGGGCCAGATTTGTCAGGCTATTTTATGTTAAAGGGTGTGAACGTGTATTGACAATGACATCATATTAAGCTCATTAAATTTCCGTAACAATTTGTAGAAGCTAGTGAAGGTAAACATGTTATCATCCGATCTAAATAACATTAACACTACACCTTTAAAGCTCTTCTTTCACTTTCAAAACTTGGACATTTCTTTCAATATTGACTTGAATTTGTACTCATATTATTGTTTGTTCTCTTACTAGACTAGCTAACTGTTAATGATCTTGGAGAAATATTGATGTACTTAAGACTGGTGGTTGTATACAGGTAGGGGGTATAGCAATGATGTCCTGGGGTGTTGGTTTAGCTCTTCTAATGTAAACTATTTGTTTGGCAAAACAGAAAAGGCCTGGATGGCTCTATTTAGGCGTTTGTTTACCTTGATAAATAGGACGGGTAGCGGATGTCTAGTTTTAAGTAGGATTAATTCTTTCAGTTTTCCAAATACATTTTGAAAGACCATGTCAAGTCCGATAAGGATAGTACGAGATGATCTCTATACCCTTTTAACTAACTTTTCAACAACAACAAAAAAACCCCAAAAAACGGTGAAAGTTATTTAAAAAAAATGATTATGCAATATAAAGTAAATCCCAAAGTACATACATGATGTCGAGGCGACTGAATCGCTGATTAGACAATGGATTTGGGCAATAAGGTAAACAAGGGTAAACTTATAACAGGAATGCTTTGACCTGTCGCGTTAACCTCATATTGGTGTACAATATTAGAGTTCAAATTGTTTCCTTGGAACTTAGCGTCCAGTGTTTCTTTAGAGATGACGATATTAATGTTAATTAATGCGACACGCATTCAATTTTTGTAGAGTTAAACTACAATGGCCATAGTAGGGGAGATAACTGGATGGATTTTATTTGAAATTTATAAACGATTTGTATATGAAATAATGTATGCAAACAATTTGATTAGTATTGTAGTGGGTAATTTTTACTAATTTTGAGTCATTTCTACCAGCTTAGTTAGATAGTTATGGTATCATAGTTAGTTAGTAGGTTAACTACTGATATCGCAGACCCAATACATATTTTAGAGGAGCTCAAAGTCAATATCTCAAAAGCTTAAAGATAATAGGTTACTGAATAACAATAACAATCTTGTGCACAAGTCAAAAAAAAGTAATAAAATATACTGAAATAAATAATGGACTCCTTGAAAGGGATGACTTCGACATGTATTCGTCTGACGACAAATTTTATATCAGCGAGTTCACTGGAGAACATTGAGTGTAATGTCATGTATTGTGCAACGCTGAAACTTTTCTGTACGGTAGGACTATCTGATTTGGCTTATGAAGAGAAGCAATACTGCTCAATGGGGTTATTTTGCAAGACAGACATTCTCCTACTCTTTTCGATTTCCAATTCTCGAGGTTTTTTTTTATAGAGCACAGCTTGAAGCAAATGAAGTTGTTTTGTTTTCCATCCGAGCCAATAGCAGTTTTTTTCGCAGTGGCGTCGTCCCCGTTTTTGATAATAAAACGAAATAATTTATAGTTTTTTATGATTTAAATTAAACTTTTTATGCTTTAAGTTTATTTTTGAAACTGAAAGCAATAAAACCCATGCCGAGAGTCTTGCCCTGTTCAATAAAAAGAATTTTAATAATTAACACAATGGCCTTAAGTCATCAATTAAATCGAAACGTTTATGATCCAGTCTAATGATAAAGCAATGATCAGGTATATAAACTTCTAAGATTAAGAAAGCAAACTAGAGTTAATTCTATTTCAACTGATTTATTATTAAGAAATCATCTTCAAAGGTAAGAATTCAGCTTTATCTGTAAACGTTAATTTTGCATGAGTCAATTTTGCAATAGACAAAATGTTTAAAATAGTCACTCAAAAATTGTAATACATGGAACAGAGCTCAGACGTTCGTTTACAAGTAAGTGAGGAAATAAGGTAGTCGCGCTTTTCAAAGCGCTGGGACCGTTCTCCTATATCGATGTTCGCCTATTTAAGATACACCTGCAATTGTTAATTAAGTAGTTTGACCTAGTTTGGCTTTATAATGGCTCGATATTTTAGTTGTAACCTTTAAAATATGTAGGAGACATATTTCTCTACAAGTAGGCTTTTATTTTACTCAAATCCGCACAACAGTAGTTTTCTAACGCTTTCAAACAGCATAACGAACTTAAAAACCTTACGTAATGTTTTTAAATATTTTTGGCGTTGAAAAATTAACGGCTGGATTTTTTTAGATAAAACTTTCAGATACGTTAAAGGACACAAATCTCTAGTTTTTATGTATAGTTTTCACAAATTTGAGCAAAAGAAAAATGATCGACAAAAAAAGTGGAATGTCCCTTTAAAGGAATTGTCTTGCTTGTACGGATTTTTAAAACTATATATTCAAGACCATGTTTTCTTTATTACAGATGGAACGTTTCACACCAGTTTTGTTTTTAATTCTTTTTATCAGTGTGGTATATTGTGGTAGACCTGTACCTGTAAGTTCTGACAGTTCAGAGAGTTCAGAAAGTTCAGAAAGTTCAGAAAAGGCAAAAAGAACAAAAAATGCTGAAATTGTAGAAAGTGCTCGAGATGGTGCCTTATTGTTATCAATTGTAAAAAGTGCCCGAGCTGGAGCTTCATTGGTATCACAATCCAATATTACTATCATTGTTTCAATGGGCGTACTGATGATGATGAAAAACAGATTTTTTAGTTAAACTTTCTTGGTGATTGAACCAATAACACTACATAAATATTGTGTGTAATTTTTATGATTTTAATGTGGTATGTGGTGTATTTTGAAATAAAAACAACGTTATAAACCGATATCAATATCACGGAAGTTTGTAACTGCAAGGATTTGGTTACATTGTACAGCCTCAACAGAAAGTGTGTAAATCGTAAGCTGTAATTTCTTTCTGTCGAGAGCTCTGATTGGCAGTATTCGCTGGCGTACAATTCAATCAAATCGCTACAATTTCGTAATAGCTTGACATTGTGTAAATACACAGGGGACGATGTAGAGAAATATATTAGATCCATCAACTTGGTACGGATCATTTACAGTTAGCCTTTGAGCCTTTTAGTCAACCCTCAATCTTAAATTTTAATATATATTCATATGACTTTAATAGACATCCACTCGACAATTTTCCCCGGGGTCTTTCTATATATAAAACTACAATAATTATTTCAAAGGGTGACGAAAAAATATAAAATATAATGAAGAATAATATGAATAGTTTGATACTTGATATAATGTGACTAAAACATGAGTGTAAAGTGTACATTTAAAAATGAAAATGAAATGAATTCGTCAATATTCAATGTTTCGTTTTGACTTCATCCAGCTCTATCAGGGAAATCAAAAATTACAAATTGATGGAAGTTTAGTAATCCACCATTATGTATGTTCATTCTTCCCCTGATGAACTTTTTGAATGAAAGGATGTCAAGTTATCAATTAAAATAGTTGTTTTACCTTGTTTGTAAAGTAGAGAATATTAGAAGAGTATAATTAAGTAAACCAATTGATGTAGTATAGTGATCTGAAACAATTCTCAAAGTTTATATACCAGTGATCATAACTTTATCTATTAGATCAAATCTGAAATAGTTGAGATTATCAATATCAGTAGATTTAGTTCATCACCCAAACTTTATCAACATATCAACCTGCATTGTCTGAAAATCATAATTAAAATCAGTGATCTTTATAAACAATTTTTTATTGTCTTTACTGCGATGCATAAAATAGAAAATCTCCTTTGAGCAACTAAACAACATAATATTGTTTGTTTATATATTTATTTATTTGTATTTTTGGTTTTTTTTCTCTGTTATCAGAAGCGTTTGACTCTGTGCCCCTTAATGTGGAATGAAATAGAGTTTTTTCTCTAATTTTCCTGTACATTACCTGATTAGGCTTTTGTATAGACAGCGACTACCTTTGTTGATTTCCAACTCTCGAGGGGTATATGACGTTCATAGCCTGCATCACAGACAGTGTTCTGTTTTGTGTCCTATCCGAGCGAATACCCGCTTTTGTCATGTGACCCCTCCCCCACCTCCCTCTAAACCCCACCGCCTGTCCACCTAGGCACCTAAACCCACCCCCCCCCCCCCACGTGCCCTTAGGCGTTACGGTTCTTAATCTAGGTACGAATTATTATTATTTTTGTGTATTTGTTATTTCCAAACATCACACTTTGTACAAAACTGAAAGCAATAAAATCCATGTCCACAGTCATGCCCTGGTCAGGATGATAAACAACAAGATATTGATCGAGACTGGCTTCATTCAATGGTCATTAAAAAAATCTGAACGTTAATGATCCAAACTAATGATAAAACAATGATCAGGTATATAAACTTCTAGAATTGAAACAAGTTAACATAACTTCAATTGGTTTAAATCACTACACTTCTCTACAATAACTAAAACCTGAGTTAATTCTTTTTCAACTGATTTATTTTTGAGAAATTAACTTCAAAGGTAAGAATTCAACTTAAAAGTTGCTTGAGAAATAAACGGCAACCGGAAATCAAAAACAACATTTTGTCGAAACATTGGTATCAGCTAGTGATACTATTTTTAAGACCATGTTGTTTCTATTACAGATGGAACATTTCTCCCAAGTTTTGATTGCTTTAATGGCTATGATCAGTATGGTTTATTGTGGAATGCCAGAAAGTGCTGAAAGTGCTGAAAGTGCTGAAAGTGCAGAAGATGGAGCTGCATTGGTATCACAATCCAATATAACTATCATTGTTTCAATGGCTGTTCTGATGATGTTGAAAAACAGATTTTTTAGTTAAACTATACAAGTTGTTTGAACCAGTTGTATCTGATATTAATTTCTGTATAGATTCAAATAAAAATTTCTTTTTGAACATAATGATTAGTTTTAGCTTACATTTAAGTGATATTCTTTCCCAGTCAGCATACCTCGCTTTCTGCTGTCAGAAAATCTATCGCCTGTTGTGATGCAAGTGATGATAGGTAGACAGGCTGTGCACGTTAAATATTCCACGACAGTTGATACAAGTTCCCGCTTCGAGATTGGCTAAGAAACGGGACGATCCTTGCACCGCTCGAATGATCGCCTTATCTCATATGGATACAAGATCGTAAACCATACGTATATATACTGATGGTTCAAATAACCCGTATGGGGGGTACGACTGGTCTTGTTGAGCAGGACAAGAATTAGCAAGAGATTGCCCAATAACTACTGATCAGTGTACACACATCCTGTAACGTTGAAATTTTCCACAGGCCCTACATTCAAATTATGTAGTATTAAGCAACTCGCCAAGTAGTCGGAACGATTCCTCTTGTTCCATAGGGGAGCTAGTGGATGGAATCAGATGGGTCTATATAGGTGGCTAGACGTAGTGTAAAAAGTTACATGAGATAAAATGAAAAAAAAATCATTCATTTGTAAACATATCGACTGTCGTATTTATGTGAATAAGACGAAGAATTTATATTTGAGCTGTAGGCAATTAAAGGATATTACTTAACTTTGGGAAGAAAAAGATGAAGCATATTTAGTTTCAAAAATAACAAAAAGGAACACAGCTTTTTTTTATTTTTTCCTCCTTCACGGCGATGTCTTGACCTGCTTCATTCAAATGAAATAATGATAGAATTTGAGAGAGAAGGAGACATAGATCAAAATATATTTCTTCATTTTGTAAAGCCCCAAATCTTGAGAGATTAGATCGGCGAAACCAGAAACTCTTTACGACGCCACGTGCACGTAATCAAAGAGCTGTCTGCTTGCAGATTGCGAGATGTTAAAATTTACTGTTAGCTCTTTATTGAATTTGAAAATTTTTGCCATCAATACTGTGTAGAGGGTATGCTCACTCTGCTACATGGTTATTCAAATCACTACCGCTCTCTGCAAGTTCACATAGGTAGGCTAATATTGTTCATTTTGTTCAAGCACAGGGTTCACCTTTCCGTGCCGAAGGAAGGATCCGATTCGGATGCTGTAACGTTAACGCTAATCCATTAAATACGATAATCTTATTGTTTTCGCTTTAACCATAATTCCATAATTGATTTGGTTTTCGAAATGATTAATGTCAAAATTTTCTGCTTTTCTGATCTGGAAACGAGAAAAAAAACCTTATATAGAGTTCATGCTTTTATCTGTGCTACAGTTGGTGAAGAGATTTTTGAATATAGTAGAGAGATCAGTCCTAGATAATAATTTTACCAAAGTCAGTCTGATTTCCTTATTTCCTTCAATGCGACTATGCTATAAATATTTTGATATATACTATGTAAATTAGAACACATTGTCACTTTAAGTTGGGTAAATTAGCGGTTATGGAATGAAGGGGAGGAATGGGTCATTTGCACTGACAGTATCTAAGTAAATGAAAAAAAAAAACATTCTAACCTGACCATGAAAACGGATATCAGGTGTTCGCCAGAAGTGGTAATGTTATCCGAGGTTAACCGTGTTGACATCTACATCACTCGATTGTTACAAACCGATTTCATTTGACTTTTTTTTTCTGTCTAATGACTTCCAGAAGCTGTTTAAAAACACATGTAACTTTGACTTGGTTAAGAATCGTATCAACCCCGTTAGAAATTCTTTGTGATATTTTATATCCATTCGAGTATTTTGGATAAAAGAAATTGGGAAATGTTTGTCAGATCAGTTTTGTAACAACTACGTGGGATATATTTAAAGTATAATCTCCAACAGACTGTACACGTGTTAATGTCACTGTATACGTGTATGTTTAATCGATACCTTAGATGAGTTGGTGTTTAGAATATCAAGGTTTATAATTGGTTTATTAGCGCCCTTTAATTCATATACATAACTTTTGAAACAGTGGCTTTATTCTTAGCTTAGATCAAAACAAGATTTTAGGGAATATTCTGTAAATGTAAGGGGGGTGGCATTTCAGCTCGCCACATCTTGATAACCAATAGGTTGATGGTAGGTAGAGATTGCTGGTAGTCCCAATAGGTTGATGGTAGAGTTTCCTGGTAGTCCCAATAGGTTGATGGTAGAGTTTCCTGGTAGTCCCAATAGGTTGATGGTAGAGTTTCCTGGTAGTCCCAATAGGTTGATGGTAGAGATTCCTGGTAGTCTCAATTCTAGGTTGACGTAGAATACATGTCTTGGATTCATAATCTTGCTTAAGCAGGCATTGGGTTATGCATTACCTTTTTTCAGTTTGATTACTTATATTTACAAAAAAGGCTATGATGACTGGCCTACTGGTCGTGATATTTTATTCAACAAAGCTATATAATAAAATACTGAACGTTATTGGTAATGTCGAGCGAGATGCGTTGGTTGTTACAACCTACATTACTGTTAGTGAGTAGACACTGCTGAGTCTTTTAGATTGAAACTCTCCCAACTGTCTTTAAGGATCTATAAACAGCACGCCGTATGCAATACATCATTTTCCTTAGTCACAAACAATAATACAACCTACGTGAAATTTCTTATCTCATGCAATCAGCATAAACGAATTTCTAATTATGTTTCAAATGACAGATCAGATTACTTAAAGCTCAGTAGGGTTTGAAACATTTAATCTACCCCCTGTATAGTTCTTTACAATAGAACATAATGTGAGTTATTATATCTATTTCAATGATAATTTCAAGGGAAATATTTTATTTATAAGCAAATAAATCAGGGTGTCAACTTTTAAGGAAATTTCTCTGAATAATTTGACATATTTACGATTTATTTCACTGACACGGTATAAATAAATAATAAGATTTTGTGTATTGTAAATCTACTATTCAATTATTTCAATGGAATGCATTTGATTTACGGAAATTACATCACCTTAATATCATTAATCGTAATTATTATGCTAGTGGTATTGGGCAATTTTTGACGGTCATAGACAATTTGATTGCAAGTCAGATACTGAAATAACAATTTATTATATATATTTTTTTTAAATTTTGAGCCGATTAATAAAAGCAATAAAAAGTTAATATTTAATAATGGGTATGGAAGAATACCTCACAATGGTCCGAATATAAAATGGAGTTTTATGTCCTACTCTTCTGCTCATAATTAGGCTAATGAAGACCATGGAGTGTGCCATGGGTGAGATTTTGTCAGGACAGCGGCATAAGCCTACTCTTTTTTGATTTCCAATAATTGTCGAGGAATCTTTAACGAGCACAGACTCAGTTTATTTTCCCACCCGAACGTCTAGATGCATTTTCCATGTCAGCCCCTCCTTTCTGCTTCACTGACAGGGGGACCTATGCTGGGATGGATTCGGGTTAGTCTTGTCCGTCGGAAGCATTATGTCCGATTTCCAGAATTTCACATTTCGTAATATTTTGTCCGCCATATACGTTGAAATTTGTATCAAATTTGTGATCTAAAACTGCAAGAGATTGACGACATCCTGAAAAATCTTATCTTGGTCGCTGAATTTAATTCCATCAGCGTTTTCCATCAGTTGCCCTGTTGCTGTGAAGTACGTTCTAATGTTACGGGCTTAAAATAATTACTCGAGCTTCAGCCACACGACTGAATTCATTTTCAATTTATTGTAGTAAAATACGTTTTGACGTCGAAGGTGATAACAAGATTCTTATCAAATGATGAAACTTACTTTTAATTTATTTATCATAATAACAGAGATAAAACTGTTATATTTACTTTTCTTTGATGTTGGGTTGCCAATTGTTATAATGCATGCATGAGTTATATTTTCTCTTATCTCCCTTTGACGACACCCTTTTTTGAAGGTAATTTAAGTGACGTATGATATTAGCTAACCCCACTCAGGTGTATAATTTTAAAAGTGGTTTCTATTTCAAAGCAATCATAGAGAGTCCAAATATGTTGAGTCTGCAAATAACTTCCAAAAATCACAGTTATATTTTTTTTCAACTTCAATGTTAGATATTGAAGCAATTTAATAAGTTTTTCATAGAGCAGAAAATTATCATAAAGAAATTGCAAAATTATAAGACGTCTTCTGTGTTTTTGCTTTTAAGATCTCTTCATCTAAATGTTATTGTTTTTTATCATCTCGAGACGGTCGAGCAGAATTTGCCATTCACAAAATGAAAGCAATACAAAAGAGCCAAAACGTCAACCATCGGGATGGTGCGCCATTCTTTTTTTGACCAATCATACTTCAGTCTCAGAAACGGGAATTCTTTTAGTTAAGCCAATCAGTACTAGTGTGCACAGCCCATCGCCAAAATTTGAGCCTTCAAATCCATGTGTGTTCAGGATCATCCGCGTTTAGACAAGTCAGTGAGACACTGTCATATATACAGAAAAGACATTTATAAAAATAGGAAAATAAATTCCTAAACAGTTTGAATGAATTATGCAATCTTTGTACTTTTTTAATACTTCTGAAGATTATTTACATGTATTAAAGACTCCAATCACCCCCCCCCCCCCCCCCTCCAAAATGGCGCATTCGTCAAAGACGCAGTTCTATATTTTATTTTTGAAACTTATTCTGTACAAGCCCTCTAATGATATATTCTTTAAGAAATTGTTTAAGACGAGAAGGTCTAATTATATGTAACATTATGAAGTGACGTGCTGCGTTTTAGAATTACTGACTGTCGGAAAGTTAGTTTGATTTTATCGCCGAGATGAATATCTGGGGTGGTCTTGAACTAAATCTGACAGTAAAGAATTTACCATTTGAAACCAGCTGACGGAGTAGAGAGCAAAGTTTCACAATGAGCAACCCAGGTTGTCTGTTTTAATCAAATTTAAATTCCATCATTCTGCACAATTAGACTTCAAAGCAGCTGTGTTGAGAAATCTTGA